GGGATTGATGAGAGCGCTTTAAATTTAAAAGTATTCCTGCTGCATCTAATGCTGGAATCCGTGTAAAAGAGAGACTTTCAATCCGTTTAAGGGATCAATTCTATTTGAGTGTCTTTCCAGCTAGTCTTTTTATGCCTTAAAAAATCTAGTTCCCAAGAAAATCAAATGTAAATCTCTAGTAATTTAATTGGACACTATTCACGGTACTAGAATGAGAGACTTTTCCAAAGATTTTTGTGGTAGCTGCAGGGACGAAGAAGACGAACAGCCTGTGCAGCACTATCTCTGCCACTGTCCAGCCTTAATCACCGCACGACATAAACACCCAGGGCATTACTTCTTTGATTGCCAGCGTAACGTTTCAGTGGCTGTTTTAGGCAGCGTCACATCACTCATAAAGCACGCGAAGTGGTTCGAACAACTAGGAAGGGGAGAAACACTCCTTAGCGGTATCACAACGGGCATTCAAGCCGAAGTGCGCTGTTCGCTCGGATCAACAATTGCATCAATTCAACTCATCTGATAATTACAAGCACTAGTTGCTGTTCCATATATATATATAATTAGCGGTTTGTAACCGCTGAAGCGATTTTCCTACAAACGGCTGATGGTTTTTTATGAGGAGCTGAGATAAAGCTTTTTGTCAGAAATACTGTCGAAAGGTTTGAAATTCCCTGTCATGGGTCTAGCTCAATTAGAAAATTTAGCTTAATTTGTTAATTAAATTAAATTTCTATGATTTTTTTGGTGTTTGATTTTCATGATTTGAACCTGAGTCTTCCGTTCAGTTCACTACACTGATGTAATCTCTTTAGCACATTCCGACCATGAAAAAAGTAGAGAAATATTAATATAATCGTACAATCGTTTTTCCCCTTCAACTCAGCTCAATAAGACAACTAAATTAGCTCTACTCAAAAATTGTCCTTAAATTCACTTTACCTGAAGTAAATCAGTTCCCTGATATATAAGAACTGCAGCAAAAAAAAATCTCATAGAAATTCCGCAAACAACCGTGACTACCTGAAATCTGCAAATATGTTTTATTCCTGAAATTCTTAAACAATTTAACAATCAAAGTGGAAAGGTTTTCACACAAACACACAACAAAGTGTAGAGTTTTTTACAATTTCCCCGCCCGTGATGGGTGAACGACAGAATGTTAAATTAATTTCTAATCTCACACACTATAAAAGACGAACTTTGATCTGTACACCAACATACACACACGCCAGCATATTTGCGCATACTTGCCATGGCGACAATGTTCGATACGAGACCGTCGCTCATAAATGCCAACAAGTACAAGCATTATAATGTCTTCTACACTTAGTCTCTCTGCAAATCAATATATCGCACATATTTATGTACTGAATTTATGTACTTGCATGTGTACGTGTGCCTGTGCAACTTCTTAAATTGTTGGCAAAATTCCGAACTTGTGAACTTGCCGCAATAAAAAGCGAAAATCGAGACGTGAGATAATTCCATCTGGGCTAAGCCATACTAGCTGTGCGAGCCTTCGCTTCGAGCGCTCAAAAATGCTGCCAAGTTTACGCCAGCCGTGCCACACCGCTTCCGGTTACTTTAAAAACGCCTGCTGTGCGCCAACTGCTGCATTGAATAGTTTAGCCACACACACAAGCGTGCACACAGCCATACAAGTTGGATAAGCATACGGCGAAGATTGCCATGGCGTATGATGAACATACTCGTTCATGCACACAAATACTCATATACACAGCCATTTGCTAGCTGCTGCCGGCACGAATGACTTTCGGGTTCTTCTTGTTTATTTATTTCGTTGTAATTTTGGCATACCGTTAGCACTTAAAAATGCGTGCGGCCACGACTACACTCGCTCATCCCGTCTGGTCGTCACTGCTTGTATGACCGAAAAGTCAGCCAACACAGGCGGCGGCAGCAACTAAAGCACAACAATAAAACAGCAACAATTGAAACTTTGCCAGACACTGCCAGTGTGCGCAGAGGCGAATGGGCGAATTGATAGCAGCTAACAAAAGCCAAGAAAGCAAAAGTGGCCGGCTTGTGAAGCTGAAAACGGCGGCGGCGGCGGCGACGACAGACTTTTAAACGAATTTGGTTTTGTATTGTAAGTGCTGGTGTGTAGCAAATGTCGAGCCATTGAATGCCGTCCTGAGACAATGAAGAGCGTAAGAGAATGGTGAACGCACGCACAGCCGACTGAACTTAAAAGTTTATAGTTTTTTTTTTTTGTTTAATGCCCTAAAGTTGCTCGGGGTATTGTGCCTGAAATTGTGAATTTTTCGTCATTTTTTTTCAAAAGTTGAGTAAAAAAGTTTTCTTTTCTAAAAGTCAGAAGATTCAATGGTGACATACTGAGCAAATTTAAGAAATAAATATGTGAGAAGAAGGTGACATGATTTCAATTGGATTCTTAGTAAAAAATTATCGTTTTTGCCTTCCAGAAAATATATTCTTAGGAGTGCTTTCTAAGCTCAGAATTCTTATAACAATTGGCCTATACACTTTGAACTTCATTCAAATGTGGAAAATTGGTAATAAAATAGCTTCTGATCTCTCAGATTTCAGTTCCACCATTAAAATATTAAAGCGGCCTGATAAATAAGCCGGTTTTTTTTTTTTTCTCTCAATACTTCCGACCCTACTGGATGCTCTTCCAGGTTTCTGCACCATATATTTGGACAGGAATGATGAGTGTCTTGTAGAGTTCGCTCTTCGTTCGTCAAGCGAGCGAGGACTCTACTTTTCAATTACCTGCTCAGTCCGAAGTAGCACCTGTTGGCAACGGTGATTCTGTGTTTGATTTAAAGGCTGACGTTGTTGTTGGTGTTGATGCTGATCCTTGCAAGGAAAGCAGTTTTAAAATAGCTAAAAAGGTGATGTAATCATCTGGTCGATAGTAGATTTACCACGTCTGAAGTCACACCGATAAGCTCCAATTAGTTTGTCGTAGATGGGCCTTAGTATTTTACACAATACGCTCGATAGGACCTTGTTTGCGAAATTTAAGAATATATTGGGCATAGAAATGCAGTTACTTAAGAGGTCTATTAGCTAGCACAGATTAGGAGGAAGAAATAACCCAAACAGTGTAAGTAAAATACAAGTAAATTCTTAAGTGATTTACTAAAAATAAGGGCCCCCATATAGTGGGAAGCTGGTGCACGCTAAGTGGATTGGATATCAACCCAGCGAAAGCGGAAATGTTTACAAAGTACAGCAGCCACTAGCTCTTAAGCCACTATAACTTAAAGGCATGGACACTTCTCTCTACCCTCGTTGAACTCCTCGGCATAATGTTAGATATACACCGCAAAGGTCGAGGAATGCTCGACAAAGTTCAGCTGACAGATCTATCACCATGGACAGCTCTACCATCGACTCTTTGAAAACTGTCTCAATTTCCTCTTCTTGGTTGTGTATGGCAAACTTCAAGCGAGCTGCAATGCAAATAGACTGGACGTGGCTCAGCACTAGAGGTATAGCACTACAGAGGACGCTCTGATATTGTGTTTGGCACAATTTACAGCTTATTTGGATTTATCCATCTACACATACTGTTTTAACGCTCCTCCTCCCCAAGAATTTCGATGAGGAATAAATAGCAAAATACACATGGGAATACAACTACTTCGCACCACCATCTTCATGGATGAATTAAAGCAACCAGCTGTAAGTCAATTCAAAACCAATTTCAATTTTCGGCTAACCGAGATCGGCAGCGGCTTTCAAGCAGAGCTTGTTGCAATCTACGGAAAATGCCGAATGAATCAACCCCTACATACTCGAACAGTGACAGCATTAGCACTACATCAAAAAGGGATTAAGGAATCTAAACTTCTTGGACCGCTTCACCATTAATACATCAACTAGTCTATTAAGTAAACATAAGGCGGCTTCGCGGTATGAGAATGGTATACTTTTCGAATGATTTTTGTCAAAGCTGCAGAGACCAAGAAGAAGAAGAATACTTTAGGCATTGCACTTGTCAATTCCAATGTCAATTATCGGTTGAATTTCGAGTCGAAACATCAAAATTAAGAAATATTAAACACGTGTTCCGCAGTGGGGTGTCCTCTCTCCATTATTGTTTAACTTCCATATTTCGAGGCTCCTTCCTCCCACAGAAGGGGTTTCCTTGCCCAGATATGCCGAAGATTGCTCGAAATCGGCGTCTGGCCAGAATATTAATGGTTTTTATTCGAAAGTGAAAGTTTGTGGAGGACGACCTGCTCCACTTCTTCATTATACGACAACTTAAAATACAACGCAACAAATTCTCGGCTGCCCTTTTCACAAGCTGGACGAAGGCGTTCTGACTTGAACTAGTTGTGAAGTTCGATGGTGTCAAAATTCTGAGCATAAATAATCCAAAATTACTGGGAGACACATTTGACTACCTATACTCGAAACACCTCGTTTCCTGTATCTGCCGTTAGATGAAATCGGTCACTTAGAATAACTAGCCTGTCTCTAAGCGGGACTAGAAAACCGCGAAAACAACAACGACAATAACAATACGTTGAGTACTGTCCCTGTCATTGTCCAACAATATGCACCATACGACGTAAGTTCTCTGGAAATCACTTCTTTGATTGTCTGCCTGACGTACCGCTAGCTGGTATATCGAATAGAGCAACACGCAACGGTTCGCGTATCTGAGGAGGTGATAAGTTAACATTGACGAAGACGTCTTGAAAAAGTAACAATAATAATGTTCCACTTGGAACTAGTATGGGACTAGTATATTTTTAAAGAAAATATCCAAGTTCTGGCAATAATGGACGTCCCCGCAAAAAAATTACTCGGCTTACTTGGTTTTACGCGTTTTTAAGTTTACAACCCTTTACAGAAATATTAAGGCTTGAAATGCCTGTTCTTCAAAAGAGACGAATGAACCAATTAAAAATAAAAAGTAGGTTCTAATTTTTCAGCATTTCACATTCCCTTACAGTTTTGTCCGCTGATTCATAATTTCATGCAGTTGAACTTACCCATACGCACCGAATGTTGGATCGTAGGTGTAGTAGCCGGTGGAAGGTGGCAAGCCCGTTGACGTCCATGTTGTCACCTCACTGCCGTTGCAAGTGCCATCCTTTAAAGTATAAGGCGTACTCTGCAAAAAAAATGTATATATATATATTTATACATATATATGTAAAAATACAAAAATAATAAATAATTCTGAAAATGTTACACACTACAAATATCAATTCTTTATTTGCTCTATTAAATGTAGATAAACTAAATGAATTGAATATCTAAAATACACTAAATAAATATTTATAAATTTAACTATGTATGCAAACACACAGATATACAGTTGTATTTGTATTTATCAACACAGCATAGAAATTTGTTAGCTTTCAATTTGCCAACAGCTGCCGAGCAAAGTGAATAATTTTGCATTTAATTACTATAGAATTCTGTCAACCAAACTGCCTGCGTTCGGAGGAGATGTAGAGCTGCGCAGCAGTGAGTTTCAATTGTGTTGTCAGCAGCTCAAGTTCATTTGGTGCAGCAAGTGCGGCATGCAATCGAGTGAAATAATAATTCAAATAGAAAAAGAGTTGAATAAGAATAAACCTACGAATATATACATATATACATCTATAGATTTATATATATATATATAGAGGCAAACATATTTGAAGAAATTCACTTTTAAGAAAATTTGCATAACAGAAATTTGTACAACAGCTGACGTTTCATTAGGCTATGAAGTTGTACAAATATTTAAATGAAATTCCAAAATGACAATAACAAAAACAACAAAAAAGAACGAGAACATAAAACATTTCTTTAGAATTTAATTGAGTGAACAATGGCAACAGAATGATAAGTCAGCTATAAATTTAGGATACTTTCTATATGTACTCTTATACATGGATATACTTTATATTGAAGATATATACATACATATGTTTAGAAAATTAAATAAGCTTAAGGCAGTAGTCTGCTTTAGAGGCTTCAAAAGATGAAATTTTTTTCTTAAATCTGTTTCAAAACTATACAAGAAAATGTCTTCAAAATTTCAGTGGTAAACTCGACAGTTTTAGTGGCCAAGCATAGAGCAGGTTTGAGTGCTCAGGCAGAACCTTGAAGCATGTTTTCTCGAGTTTTCCTTTTACAAGTGTTAGAAAACCCATTAAAAATATCAAAGTATTAAATTGTATTCATTTTGGACTAAAAAAAAGTCACACAAAAGTATTATTTACACTATTTTTTTTTTACAAAAATAAAGAGAATTTTTTATTCTAAAAAGGGAATTCTTTTGTATTCTTCTTTCAAACTTCGAAAAATTTGGAATTTACCAACTTCTTCGTTGTTTTTTTAGTTCGTATAGAGGAAACACGATCTTCATCACCGCCGCCGTTTCACGAGTTCAGACTGCAGCCGCTTGAGAAAACTCATTACAACATTAAAAAAATCGAATATTTTTTTATACCAAAAATTGTTTTTGTAAGCTTAAATATAGTTCATTATTGTCTGATAACTTCGCTTACCGCAATAATTTTCTTGCCTTTCAAAAAAATATTCAAAAAAAATGTTTCTTTCCGATTCTGATGGAAACCACTGCCTAAATGCAATTAAGGAGAAATAACTCCTGGTCATTATGAGTCCCCAAACAAAATATATAAAATTCGATATTAAGAAAAAATAAAGTTCACTTAAGATACGGAATTAACAATAGTTTCAAGACCAGTCAAATGCATGGATTTGATTACGAAAAGAGCGGCGAATTTGATGTTGCGCTTTCGAAAGGTTGTTTTATCCACCTGTTGGTTGAGCTTAAAAATTTCTCATAGAAATAATCGGAATCCAAGCGACAAAACTTTAATATATCATAGGTGTTTGCGGTCTTCAAAAATGGAAAATATCGCCTTGAATTACTTTTTTTTTCACAGTCAAGATTAAGATGAACCACTGCGCGGAGAAAAAGCCGAGAGGTAAAAAAAGTTTGAAAATTCTATAAAGACCCCTCGACCCTCACTCCACCTCACCCTTTAATGATGGTTTTTTGTTTTACTGCAACAAAAAATAAAAAAAGATATGAGATAAGCAAAAGTTAATCCAGTGATGCTTTAATCAAATGCATTAGCTTCGTAAGGCCTATAAATATTGAGAGGTGAAGAGAAAGCGAGTCACATTTTGTGGATACGAAGACTGCGAAAAGGTATGAGTGAGATGAAATTATCTGAAACGAATTTTCTAACATGACTAACTATGAGCCAATTCCTGGAAAAGACCAGCGAGAAAAAGAATATTCGATCACACACCTTCATCGATTTTAAAACTGCCATCGACAGCACGCAAAAAGCTTCCTCTCCATCGCAGTATAAGAATTTAGTAGGCAATGGAAATTGAGCGTCAGTTAACAGCTAAAATTCTGGCAGTATTGGAGAGGATCTCTACGTGGCGTTGGGTGCCCGATGACTTTTTTCTGTGATGTCTTCAAATTCATTCGGAAATGTGCAATCACAACTCTTAGAATTTCAGACCAATAAGTCTGACGCGTTTCTGCTTAATGTAGCGGAAATTCTTGGAGATTTATTTGAGGCCTGCTGTGGATTATAAGCTCCCGGACAGCTATTTTTTGTTGCTGGAATATGAATATATAATTGACGTTATATAGCCGCTGAAGCGATTTTTAGACGAACTTCTCCTCCAGTTTGTGGTTTTACGTCTTGATATTTTCCAACAAAATGCAGGAACCTACTGTTCATACTGAGGCGCCACCGATCGGTTGATGGCTTTTAAAGAGGAGCCTACATTTCATGTCAGAAAAACACTCGGAAGGGTTTGACCTGCCCTGCTGAGGGGCGACCGCAACTAGAAAATTTAACTTAATTTTTTATTTAAATTAATTTTCTATAATTTTTGGTTGTTGGTCGGAACAGGAATCGAAACCTCCCGTGTGGTAGTACACAATGGTAACCACTCGGCTATCGCTTAAATTAGATAACTTAAAAATAAACTTAAATCTGTATTTAAGGCATTTCCACTTTACATGCGAACGAAATCGCGGCTAAACACTCACATGTGGACAAATATGCACATATAAATAAATCTGTATACATATATGTATGTATATTTAGATATTTCCCATATGAATTTCGCTTTTTTTCGCTCTCAAGTCTTGTTAAATTAAGCGCACAAGCGGCAATTAGCGAACGGCAGCCGTCAAACAGCCAATAAAATGTGAGAAAAATAAAAACATTACACCAATATGTATGTATGTATATCCATATGTATACGGGTACATAGGTATGTACAACATCTTTATCGCCTTTTTGTTGACGGCAATAAACACTACTTGGAACATACATTTGTGTGGTGGAGTTTGTGATATTAATCATATATGTACGTATGTTTGCAAGTATGTATGTATGTATATATGTATGCTGCCAGGCTACTAATCGCGCATTTTTACAAGACATTAAATCTCTTGCAAAGCAAATTATATCCGTCTACATACAAACACTTGAGTACTCAACACGCTTGTGACAATAATAACAGCAACAACAACAACAACATATTGCATAGTAACCAAAGCGTGTTTGGCTGAGTTTATGCACTATTTTTTACACATATAAACCTATACATATTTATTTGTTTGCGCTGTGGCATGTCTGTGTGGCTCTTATCAAAAGTCAACAAAACGAACGCATATACGTGCGCCCAAGGCCCGCTTCGCCCATTTGGAAGTGCTGATCTGTCTGTATGTACGTGTATGTATGCGCTGGTTTGTGTTGTGGCATTAACTTCATTTTATTAATTTAAATTTTTTTTCTTTATTTTGCTATTTGGTTTTAGTCAAATTGCAGTTATGCAGGCAGGCAGGCAGCCAGGCAGCCTGCGGTCCGTATCCTCCTCTGTAAATGCATTTCAAAATCCGTTTTTTGTCGGCTTTTTTGATTTAATTTTTATTTTTTTATCATTTAATTTTTGTCAGTATATATGTATGTATGTATAATTTTTTGCAAAATTTTTTTTATTTATTTGTTTTGTGGATTGTTGTTTTTTCTTTGCTTTTTTTTTTTTTTTTGAAATCAGCCTGAAACACGAGTCAACAACAGTAATTATTTTAATGTTTACGATTTGCATAAAAATGCAATTAACTACTTTTTATGAGCTGCTGCACTTCGGTGTTGCACTAATTGTTGTGCCAACTACAGGCATACGGGATAGATACATGCAAACATACATATCTACATATATGCGGCAACCACATTAGTCGGTAGTGCAGAGAAGTTTTGCGCAAATGAGAAAAATATCAAAAAAAAAAGTATCTTACATACATACATTCATACATAATCATATGTATGTAAATATTCCGTGTCGGCTGCCAATGTGGAAATTGTGGAAATTGTGGAAACAGCAGCAACAACGACAACAACAATTATCCAACTGGTCATGCATGATGGCTAAAAAGAACCGCATACTTCGCTCTATCTCTCTCCGCCGTTGTCTATTTGCAGTTAAATGTGTCGCGCGCCGGCGGGTATTTTGTTTGAAAATTTTCCAAACATTAAGCGATCTCGGCCGTGGAACATTTGTATAATCATTTTCTGCACAATTGAATAAATTAAAATTGGCATTCATTATACTTACACGTAAACTCACACAAATGTTAGTGTGTGTGTGTGTATGTGTATGCAAATCGTAATTTAAAATCACTTTCATTAAATTCAGCGCAATCAATGATTTGCCTATTGTAGATGAGTTGATTTGTATTCAGTTGCTGCAGCTGCTGGTCATTACCAGCACACTTAGGTCAATAGGCCGATTCTGATAACACTGTGAGGCAACTTAGCAATTTTATACCAAATTTCTCTCCTTGCGCCCCCGTGACACACCGTGGAAGCATGAGAGGCCTTTTTGCCAATTGGGGTAACAAACCCATGTGGAGCCTTGTGTCAGAGCTATATTATAAAGGGCTTTGGTAGAGAGATATTTGGTTTATAAAGTATCTTTACAACGTCTCTTGACCGGAGCTGAAGCTGAGACCATTCTAGGGTGCAAAAAAATGTCACAGGGTGGCATATCGGGCAAATAACACGTTGTGGGCGGTGTGGCACGGCGCGCTTTCGTGATGAAGGATCCAGTTACGAG